CGCGGATGGGGATGCGCGGGGCCGCCGCCGGACGCTGGCCGGGGCCGGGCCCGAGGGGCGGGTGCGGCGGCGAAGACGCTGGTCCCTGACAGCCACACCTGCGCAGGGAGCCCTGTCCCATTTCCTCCTTCCGATATCCTGGCTGAGTACGACCAGTGCCCCGAGTTGGGGCCGCGGCAACGGGCCGCCCATGCGCAACTGCTGGAGCCAGGATGGAAGGCTGGGCAGCGTGCTTCTGGAACTTTCTGCACTTTTGCCCCGGCGAGGACCCATCTCTTGTGCCGCAGAGTCGACTGAGGCTGGCGAAAATGTGGCTGCCCGGTGCTTGGAGCCAGTCCCGCAGCAGGGGAGGATCCGAACCCGGGGCTCTTTGGCTCTGAAGCCCCTTGTTTTTAGTTTGTCGACTAAATGTCTGTGGGCAGTGTGCACGTTCCGAACCTGTGCTAGGCACTGGGGGAGACTTTGAACGTGACACCCCTAACATTTTAAATTGCATGTAAACATTCGCCACATTTTAGATTTCAGACTGACGAGGCCTGTGAGCATCAGGGCAGAAGGTGTAGCAAGAGAGGAAGCGAGGAGGTCAGTGGGGAGGCCATCAGCTGGCAGAGAGGTCAGCTGGTGACGAGGATGGAGGGGGGGGACAGAGGTGGACAGTTTGGGAAGGTAGACCCCAGAAGGCCCCCAATGCAGTGAAGGTGGACAGAGTGTGAGGACAGCTCCCAAATTTCTGGCTGGCACAAATGAGTAGATGGTGTTCCTACCAAGACTGGGGAGGTGGTGAACTCAAGAGCTGTCAGCCAATGGAGTACTGGAAGTTGAGATCCATCACGCCTGATGCTGGATATAAAAGCATTATCCCAGCTCTCTGAGAATCCACCTGTCAGGAGAGAGAACCACCCTTGAAAGGTCTGCCCTGCCCTTGACAGTTGCATGAGTCAGTGAGTTCCCTGCTCCTCGTGCTGGAGGTTCAGGCCATTGTGACTGAGAGTCTGCACTGATCCATAGAGCAGTTAGTCATTCATCCATTCACTCATTGAGTCAATCAGTGAACTAAGCACCTGTCCCCTTCAGCCCTCAACTAGGTGCTGGGCTTGCAGGGTCCAGCGAGCCAGGGAGATGACCAATAGATACAATGAGAGGGGGTGTCTGTGTTACAACCTGTGGCAGAAACCCAAGAAAAGGGTTTGAGTCAGCCTGGGGTAACCAGATAAGACTTCTTGGAGAGGGCTTTGACAAGAATCATCAGAGAGATGTGAAGGGGGAGGGGAGGGACCCGGATGAAGAGAAGGACCTCTTTAAGGTCTGGAAGTCTCTCTCCACAGACTGATTATTAGTTACAGTGTAGAAATGAGGTAACATTGACCCAGTGATAAAAAATGAACATCGTAGTGAGGGGCAGAGGGACACCATGTACCTCCCAACCCTGAGAAGGACGCCACATCACTTAATCTGGCCAGGAATGCATAACCTGTATCTATATTTGAGAAAATGGCAGACAAACCCCAAATGAGGAACAAAGAAGGACTGTATTCTTTAGAAATGTTAATGCCATTAAAAACCAGCCTTTCACACAAGACAACTAGCAGTGCGGAGGGAAAGTCTATAAAGAGCATTACTGGGTCAATTGACAAAACTGGAATTCAGATGTGGATTAGATAAATCTATTACATCAGTGTCAAGTTTACTGAAACTGAAAACTGGTCTGTGGTTCTGTAAAAAAATTACAGTGACATATTTAGGGTTAATATAGAGTGAATGTTTGTGTCCCCCCAGCATTCATATATTGAAATCTAGTCCCCAATATGATGGTATTTGGTGGTGGGATCTTTAGGAGGTCACGAGGGTGGAACCCACATGAATGGGATGAGCGACCTTATAACAGAGACCCCAGAGAGCACACTTGCCCCTCTGGCCTGTGAGCATGCAGGGGAAAGACAGCCTATGAACCAGGAAGCAGGTCCTCACCAGACACCAAATCTGCTGACACTTTGATCTTGGACTTCCCAGTCTCTGGAACCGTGAAGAAGACATTTCTGTGGTTTATAAACCATCTGGCCTAGGGCATTTTCAATAGAGCAGCCCAAAGGGACTAAGATAAGGGTAGGTGCCATGATGCATGCAACTTCGGTGGTTCAGAAAAGTGTAATTTGTATCTATAAAACACACACGACGGGGAGGGGGAGAGTGAATGATAAAGCAAATGGGGCAAAATGTTAGAAGCTGAATCTGGGAAAGGGTATATGGAGATTTCTTTCTCCTATAAACCTGAATGGTTTTCATAATAAAAAAGTAAAAGAAATAAAGCTAAGAACATAAAAAGCCGTGTCCTTAGCCAAGTCTTAAAGGAGGGAAAAGAGAGGCGAGGAGGGCACCCCGGCAGTGGGGACAGCAAAGGCAAAGGCCCGGAAGCCTGAGTGGGTGTGGGCCCCTGTGCCCACGCAGTCAGCCTCTCCTGGATCTCATCTGCCCAAGCTTGATAGGGAGTGTGTAGCACCCATGGGCTGACGGGGGCTAGTGACAAAGCTCTCGGGCCCCTTAGGGACTGGGGCCTGGGCCACCCCATCACCAGCTCAGCCTCTGAGACCAGCGAGAGAGCAATGGAGAGTGTGTGCTGGAGATGGGGGGTGAGAAGTTTCAGCCGCAGCTCAACGTGGTTCTGGAGGTTGTAGTTCACCCCACTAATCTTTTTCTTGCAAGTTTTCCCTCAGAAAAAGACGCCTAGGGCGCCTGGGTGGCTCAGTTGGTTAAGCGACTGCCTTCGGCTCAGGTCATGATCCTGGAGTCCCTGGATCGAGTCCCGCATCGGGCTCCCTGCTCGGCGGGGAGCCTGCTTCTCCCTCTGACCCTCCCCCCTCTCATGTGCTCGCTCTCTCTCATTCTCTCTCTCTCAAATAAATAAATAAAATCTTTAAAAAAAAAAAAAAGAAAAAGAGGCCTAACAATCCTGGGTGAAATGTTTCCAGAACATACTACATGGAGCTGAGCAGTTCCGGGTGGACTGTGGTGGATACACCATCCAAGCTCCCCAAATATATGGAAGCAGCATTTCTTCCGGCTGCTGAGGGTGATGGTGGCTGATGGCTCTAAGCTGAGTGTTTCCCAGGCCCTGCCTTCAGCCAGAGGGAGTCCCCCCTCCTTCACGGAGGCTGCCCACATCCAGGCACTTGTCCATGCAGATGCATAAAGCCATCACCTGTGGCCAACAGGGGACAACTCCGAAGCTCCAGAGGCCCCTGTAGGGTCAGCTGAGACTGTCATCACTGAGGCCCGCTGTCCCTCTGTCCAGCCCTTCTTCCTTCACTGCCTGGCAGGTACCGGCCCCAGACACTCTCCTGTCCCTAATCTCAGTCTCAAAATCTTCTTCCTGAGGGCATAACCTCTGACACAGATGCGTCGTAGTTTGGAAGATTTACAGAACAAACAAAAGAAGTCAGGTAATTTTAAAGTGCAGCATAAAGATGATGGAGAACTAAGCCCGAATGTTGTCCCAAGATGTAAACAGGCCAAACTCAGAGGACTCTCCGGACGGATGACAGGGCGAATCCCACCCACGTGCTGTAAAGTAGGGACAAGCTGAACGAAGCCAAAGACAATCGGTCACATGGCACTGTCTTCCACCAGTGTACACCTTCCCAGTTTACCAGTGTTCTAGAAAACTCCAAACTGTGGGGACAGAGAACAGAGGAGTGGGGACAGGGGAACTGGGTGACAGCAGAGCAGCACCGGTGAATCTGGGGGGCAGATGAAACTGTTGTCTCTTCAACTGTGGGCTGTGCCGTGTGTCCGTGTCGATGCTCTTGAAGCCATACCTTAAAAAGTAGAAATCCTGCTGTCTGTACTTTCTATCTCAATAAAGCTGAGCGCAAACCCCAGTTGTTATGGGCAACACACGTGGCTCTTCATTAGCGCTTT